CCCTTTATTATTGCCTTGTATTTTTATTTTAGTAAAAAATATATATTATGTTTATTTTTTTATTTTAGATTTTTTTTTTTTTTTTTGTATTCATTTAATCGAATTGTAAGGATATATCTTATCACCGTTATCACACAAAGTATTTCACTTTCGCCTTCGTGGAGTTGTAAATACGTAATCCACATTTAAATACCGTAAAGTAACTGCAATACTAGCGCTGTAACCACTGATAAGCGACAAACAACACGCTTAGCCAAGGCAACGTGAGCTTTGGTTTAGTAGTTCATCACTTTTTGCGGCTCGACGCGTCTTTGCCATGCCAATGACTTTTATGGCCCACGGAATGGGGTTAATTAAAACACAAGCACACCGGCGACGCGATGACAGCCAGATTAAGGCAATTCGACGTAATCGTAGTTGATTTCCATTCACAAGCAGCTAAACACAAGTATTTTTAAACTGATACATATATATTTATATATGTATGTTTTCCTTATTTATAAGTATGTATTTGTTTGCAAGTTATTTAACAAAAAAGTTTACAACATAGCGGTCGCTTGCCTTAACTTGGCCGTGTTACACTTTTTCAACATTTCTATTTGTGCATGACAACTACAACTTCAATTTCAACTGTAATAACAACTAAAACAACAAGCACATGCCTCTAGTGCACTTAATATGTACATATGTTTGTATATAGGCTTGAAAAAAATTCGAGAAAAACTTATGAAAACAATTATATAACAGAAGGCAACGCGCCGCTTTATCACTGTCACAAGTTTGCGGCGCTTAAACTTGAATTGTAACTGACTGTCTGTCAGTTGGTGGGTCAAGGTACGCTTATCGCGGCGCTTTGTTTAGGACACWCTGCTTTTTAGCATAACTGTTATCGCGACGCGGCACACATACAGAGCGATATACACATTAAAAATAAATATTTCTATGCAAGTTTGCACATTAGAGCGGGTCGATTTACAAGAGGAAAAGAAAAAAGAGAAAAATCGCGTAAGCGGGAAATGTTTTACAGATCATTCTGAGCAACTGCTCCTAAGAAACTATGGATCTAAACCGCTTTCGAGCCGGCGATTTTTAAGGCGAAGTTTAATTTTTGAGTTATCCGAACGAAATTTAATACGTAGGCGTATTTTTATATTATATTGATTATTTTTTTAAATTGGCCAGATCGGACAACTATATCACATATCTACCATGTAACCGATTTTTCAGAGTTTTTAAACTTTGTCTTAAAAATAACTTGTTCGAAATAGGTTTGAGACCCACAATTTCTTAGGCGAAGATGAGCACAATGATCCGTACAGTATTTCTCGAATAGCAATAGAAGAAAATCAACTCGCTTTAATGTAGACTTGTAGGCGTTTGAGACCCATAATCTCTTAGGTAGAGTTGATCACAATGAKCTGTAGAATATTTCTCGTCTAGCAATTTTACATAAAAAAATTTATAGACAGAAAAAATAATCGACCCGCTCTAATGTACACATGCTTGTATCTTGATCAGAATGATCCCTAGAACATATTTCGTATAGAAATTTTATAGAAAAAAAAATTATAGAAAAAAAAATCGACCTGCACTAATGTTTGCTTGTGGGCGTTTGAGACCCATAATCTCTTAGGTCCATAAAACATTTCTCGGATAAAAATTTTATATAAAAAAAATCGACCTGCACTAATGCATATATGATTGTAGGCGTTATGTGACTATGCGCATGCGTCTGGTTTACAACTTTTAYAACTTCACACACACGCATATTTGTTTGCTGCACTCGCTTGCCTTGATGGCCACCAGCCGCGATGCTGTAATATAATTTTTTGGTCATTGGTCTCTAACAATTCGGGCTTAAGTGGGCAATTTGCAGCTGGTACAACGAGTAGCCCRGAGGCTTGCAGCCACTTTACAGAAACCACACTTCGAAAACAAAATATTTATAATTTAAACAGTTTTAAGTGTTATATTTTTGCACTTATCTTTTTCATTAATTTTATATTTTACTTTTTTATTTATTTTTTTTTTTCTATTATTTCCATATTTGATTTTATTATTTGTACATTTAATTTCATCATCATTTCTTGTAATATTTGTTTTGCTCTTGTTTTAGTAGTAATTTCACCTTCACCGCACTGCGGATGTGCACGTCATTTGCACTTTTCTTTTACTTTTACTTTCGCATTCACGTTTTGTCTGCGCCGCGGCGTTCAATCTCGCCTATTTCGCTTGCTTTGCCGCCGTTTCGCCTTTTCGGTCTGCTGCGCGTTTTTGTGGCCGTCGCGTTTGCGCACTCAAAACTGTCTGTTTGCTGTCGGCCAACTTTTGCTTTCGTTTGCCTGTGCCGTCACAGCGCGGCGCTCAGTTTTGGATTGTAAGTTTTTCAATTTGGCGCAAAGTTTTCGGTTTGCAAGAGATTTTCGTACGCGACGCTTTTGCCAACGCTCAGTGCACCGTTTCAATGATGAGCGTATTTTGAGCTTACAAAATGTGAACTACTGAATTGCGAGCTGTGAGCTTAGCACATGCTCAAGGGGTTGTCTCGAGTGGTGCCCATCGCATGCAATGCATGCTGTGCGTGTGAATAGAAGCAAAAAACGAAAAACTAAAGCAACGAACTTGATTTTGGGGAGTGCGCGTGTACTTGAGCGGCGAAAACCTTATGAGTGTTAATGAAGTTGATAATATGTTGTTGGGCTAATAATACTTGACGAATAATAAATAATTGTRTTGAAATGATATGGCTTAATAAAGTGAGATTTGTGATATTTGTGTTAGGGAAGAGATAATTTTGAAAAAAAAAAAAAATATTATAATATATTTTTAATAGGTTCTAAA